ATCGGTAAGCTGAGTATCCAACCCAAGTCCGACCGAATTTGACTTTTATCAAACCACAAAACGTCGTCGTATTGACACTGAAGAAGACATTCAAGTGACGAGCGAGAAGAAGTAGAAAGAAGAGCAATAATCGCCATGAAATCACCAAAACCTCTGAATCTCCCTCACAAATCTCTCAAACCCAATTTCTTCTACGGCCACCGTAAACCGTCGCATAATCGTCCCGTTGTCTACGGTGGTCTCTTCTCCAATCGCCAATCTCTCTCCATAGATTCACCCAAACCCCGATCCAACACTGTCACTAACCTAACACCTTTCGATCTCCGTAAATGGGATCCAGAACAAACCCATCTCCCTTCGAAACCACCTTCTTCTTCTCCGACGATTTCCTCCGCCTCCGAACGACTCTCTCCAATCTCGCRTTTCGTCATCGACGCATTCCGCAAGAATCGTAACCATTGGGGACCTTCAGTTGTATCGGAGCTAAGCAAACTCCGCCGCGTCACGCCGAGTATAGTCGCCGAGGTTTTGAAATTAGGAAACGATGCTTCGATTGCTACGAAATTCTTCCATTGGGCTGGTAAGCAAAAAGGGTATAAACACGATTTCGCATCTTACAATGCTTTTGCGTATTGCCTTAATCGAACTGGGAATTTTCGTGCGGCGGATCAGTTACCTGAGATGATGGATTCACAAGGAAAGCCACCGTCGGAGAAACAATTCGAGATTTTGATTAGAATGCATTCGGATAATAAAAGAGGTTTAAGGGTTTATTATGTTTATGAGAAGATGAAGAAGTTTGGGTTTAAGCCTAGGGTTTTCTTGTATAATAGGATAATGGATGCTTTGATGAAAAATGGTTACTTTGATTTAGGTTTAGCTGTTTATGAGGATTTTAAAGAAGATGGGTTAGTGGAGGAAAGTGTTACTTTCATGATCTTGGTTAAAGGATTGTGTAAAGCAGGTAGAATCGAGGAAATGCTCGAGATTCTGCAGAGGATGAGAGATAATTTGTGTAAACCTGATGTTTTTGCTTACACTGCAATGATCAAAACTTTGGTTTATGAAGGAAACATGGATGCATGTTTACGAGTTTGGGATGAAATGAAACACGATCAGATAAAACCGGATGTAATGGCGTATGGGACGCTTATTGTGGGTCTGTGTAAGGATGGAAGAGTTGAAAGAGGCTATGAATTGTTTACGGAGATGAAGGAAAAGCAGATTTTAATTGATAGGGATATCTACAGGGTTTTAATCGAAGGATTTGTAGCGGATGGGAAGGTTAGAGCTGCTTGCGATCTATGGAAGGATTTGGTGGATTCTGGGTACATTGCTGATTTAGGGATATACAATGCGGTTATTAAAGGGTTGTGTACTGTTAAGCAGGTTGATAAAGCATATAAGCTTTTTCAAATTGCAATTGAGGAAGAACTAGAACCAGATTTTGAGACTCTAAGTCCCATTATGGTTGCATATGTGGCGATGAAGAGACTGAGTGATTTTTCGAATTTGGTACAACGAATTGGCGAATCAGGATACTCTGTCGCAGACTACCTTTCACAGTTTTTCAGATTGTTGTGTGACGACGAAGAAAAGAGAACAATAGCTTTAGATGTCTTTGATGTACTAAAGAGTAAAGGTCATGGCAGTGTATCTGTGTATAACATTCTTATGGAGGCTCTCTACAAGATGGGAGATGTTCACAAGTCCTTGTCACTTTTCAACGAAATGAGGGATTTTGGATTTGACCCAGATTCATCATCGTACAGTATTGCAATTTGCTGTTTTGTTGAGAAAGGGGAAGTCCAAGAGGCATGTTCATGTCATGAAAAAATCACCGAGATGTCATGTGTTCCTTCCGTAGCTGCTTATCTTTCTCTTACTAGAGGACTCAGCCAAATCGGAGAAATTGATGCGGTAATGATATTAGTTCGTGAGTGTCTGGGAAACGTTGAAAGTGGTCCTCTGGAGTTTAAGTACGCTCTTAGGGTTTGTCATGTATGCAAAGGGAATAACGCTGAGAAGGTTATAGAGGTATTAGATGAGATGAACCAGGAAGGTGTCTCTATCAGTGAAGTTATATACTGTGCGATTATCTCTGGTATGTGTAAACATGGAACAATAAAAGCAGCAAGGGAAATCTTTGCAGAGTTGAAAAAGCGCAAAATTATGTCAGAGGCTGATATGGTAGTCTATGACGAAATGCTAGTTGAGCAGACCAAGAAGAAGACAGCTGATTTGGTGCTTTCAGGGATCAAGTTTTTCGGTCTCGAGTCAAAACTAAGAGCAAAGGGTTGCAGACTACTCGATTAACTAAAGTTTGGGATTTGATAAATCATTCAGCTGAACAGGTGACTAAGAAGATGTGGCTTTTTCAAACAACAACGTATTCCTTACTCGCACAATGACAAGGCGCCTTTCGGACGTTGGTATTAGCCTGAGACTAAACCATGCAAGGTTTGGAGCTCCTCTCATGAATCGATGATGACCAGAAATTGTCATGTGGGTTCATCGTTTTGCTAGCTCAAGCTTGGATTCAAAGGTGATGCAGTGAAGTTACTAAACAATGATCCAAATGGAAGCACAGAGAAATCTCCAAGTTGCTGGCTCGGAAGTTGCGAGCCTGCGACCCCATACCCGTGATCCGCCCATCTTTCCTGCAAGTTGAGAATGATTAGTGACATTTCTTTAGTTTTGATGGAAGTTATAGTTTCTTGATATAGAGTCTTTTTAAAGAAGTTTATGCAATGCAATAGTGTGAAACTCACTCTTACTTTCAAAGTATTAAACTTTAAAATTTCGGATTTATTTTTTGTAAAAAAGTTAAGATTGTCGGAACTTGGAATAAAGTTGGGATTTTTATCCCCAACTTCGTGGAAATGGCAGTTTAAGTTCCCGTGTCAATGGCGTTGTAATGTCGTTGTGGAGAATTTATGATCCACGCTTTTATTTCTTTTAATCACACCCAGAAAAATAGTATCCAATCTTAACTCTTTCTTCAATGAACACTCTGGCGAAAAGCGGTGTCGCGTGGCTGATTTCGCCGTCGTTGGCTGCGGCGATGAGGAGGAGAATGAGAGTGGCTGGTTTCGCCACGTCATCATCTTCATCTTCAATTCCCAATTGGGAAGGTGGAGTTTCCATGGTTCAAGGAGCTTCTAGAGGCATTGGCCTCGAGTTTGTGAGTCTCTTTCTTAATCAATCTCTCTTTCGTTTACCCAAATCCTCAAAAATGGGTGAAACCCACTTGAGAATCTTTAGATTTTGCTGTTGAGATGAGAAATTAGATCCAAATTTGGCTAATCTTTTGTTCACGTTTTGTGTGTTTAGGTGAGGCAATTGCTGGAGAAGAATGAGAAAGGTTATGTTGTTGCTACTTGTAGGAATCCGAAAGAAGCAAAGAGTTTGATTGATTTGAAGAACAGTTTCTCTGAGAGGCTTTTCATCCACAAGCTTGATGTTACTGATGAAACTACCATTGAGGTTATTGTCTCTAGTACAGTCGAAATCTGTCTCCTTTCATTGATCAGAGTGATTATTCGTGGCTCGTTTTATCGCGCGTTTACGCCTTTGTCTGAAACTGTGTCATCGGTGTGATTAGGAATCAGCTGAATCTGTAAGAGAAAGATATGGTTCTCTCAATCTACTTATAAACGCAGCTGGTATACTTTCCATTCCTGGTGTATTGCAGCCAGGTAAGAGTGTTCTTCATTTGATCACCTATCAATTGCATCGAGGATAGTTTCAATTCTACCCGCAACTCGGTAGCTAATGAAGCCTGCAAAATAAGTCTTGGTTTCTCTTTTCTTCAAATTTGATCTCAGTACAGAAACAACATTGAGCAAGGTTGAAAAGTCATCACTGATGCTTGCATACGAGGTTAACGCTGTTGGTCCAGTTTTAATGATGAAGGTAAGCATTCCAACTTCTCTATGTTTTCGTCTTTGGATTATACGTCAGAATCGATTTTCTCATAGGAAATAATGAAATAGAGTGCGAAATGACTGATAGTTAAAGAAAGCTTGAGAGCAGATCTAAGTAATGCATAGACTTGAACTCAATGATTCTGCTTTGGCTCTGTTGCAGCATATGTGGCCTCTCCTTAAGGCAGGAGGAGGTAGTGGAACCAAGAGGGAAGTTGCTGTTGTAGCCAATATAAGTGCCCGAGTTGGATCCATTGGAGATAACCGACTTGGTGGTTGGCACTCTTACAGGGCTTCAAAAACCGCACTCAATCAACGTACTGCAGATTCTTATTTGGGAAACTCTTGTTCTTGTTGATATGAACTGTGAAAACAAAACCATTGATATTTGTTCCCAACTGTTGCTTTTGCAGTGACGAGAAATGTATCGGTTGAGCTTGGTAGGAGGAAGGATCCTGTGGTATGCATTCTACTGCATCCAGGAACAGTAGACACTGATCTCTCTCGACCATTCCAAAGGAATGTACCTGAAGGAAAGCTTTTCACAAAAGAGTACTCTGTTCAGAAACTATTGCACATCATCAACAACGCAAAGCGACAAGACAACGGCAAGTTCTTCGCTTGGGATGGCCAGGAGATACCTTGGTGATTGCTTGTTTTCTCGATCTGCATGGCCGCTTCTTTCAAATTCTATTGAATTCTTGTCTACTTTTTCCCTATATTGGTTTGAGAGTAATTCCTTTGAGTAATATCGTATAACCTGAAGTGAGTGTCCATAAGCTGAGAGCTTTCTGAGTATTTAATAATCAGTGTAATGGTCCAATCTTCTATCAACATTGTGTTTATAAGTGAGTAACTCCACAAGCTATTTGCTACATTTTTTCTAATCATTGTTCTCTGTGATCCAACTAAGCCCTGGAGTCTTATGAACTCTGTTCTTGTTTATCAATCCTTGAAGAGCTGCAGCATCATCCCATTGTCTCATAGAACTATATGTGTTACTCAGTAGCACATAAGCTGCTGAGTTTTGAGGATACAGACTTATGAGTTTCTCTGCAACTCGTCTAGCCAAGCCCACATTTCCATGGACTCTACATGAGCTAAGTAGAATCTCCCATATAACAGAGCTGCTTTTGTATGGTGTAGCTTCTGCAAGCGACTCTGCATCTTCAAGCCGACCAGCTCTTCCAAGACAATCAACCATACAAATGTAATGATCCAGCTCTGGTTCCACTCCATGATCTCTCTGCATCGAACTGAGTATCTCAATCCCGGTTTCGACCAGTCCTGAATGGCTACAAGCAGTCAAGACAGAGACAAAGGTTATTCCATCAGGTTTCTGTCCCGCTGAAATCATCTCTCTGTAGAGTTCAACAGCTTTATCGCCTCGTCCATTATGAGCATACCCATGTATCATCTCGTTCCAAATGACCGTGTTTTTCCTCAATACAGTATCGAAGAACCGTCGAGCTGAATCTATTTCACCGCACTTACAATACATGTCGGTAAGAGCGGTTTCAACAAAGGAATCACTCACATATCCGCTCTTCACTACCTGTCCATGAAACTGTCTTCCATGGAGCAAACTACATAACCTTGAACAGCTACCTAATATAGAAGCGTATGAAGTTTCATCAGGAAACAACACACCAGTCTGATGCATCCTTCTGAAGAGCATCAAAGCTTTTGTGTCCAGTGAATTGCGTCTAAGACCTGCAATCATCGAATTCCAACAAGCGATATCCAATTCGTTTATACAATCATCAAAGATACGTTCAGAGATCTCCATCTTCTCGCATTCCGAGTACACAGCAATAAGACCACTAACTATGTGACTGTTCTTAGAAATATTGGTCCTTATCGCTACCCCGTGGATCTGTTTCCCTCCTTCCAGAAATCTCAATCTCGCGCAAGAGCTTAGTATCACACTCAAAGTGGTTCTGTCAGGTTTCAGGTTCTGAATATGCATTTGTCTGAAATGGTTTAATGCTTCCTCGTAGTGTTCATACTTGGAATAACCAGAAAGCAAAGCATTCCACGCCCAAACAGTCGGGTGTGGAATGCTTCTGAATATTCTCCTACCGGTTTCAACATCCCCTGAACGGAAGCACGCTGCAAGAACACTAATGCAGGTAACTTCGTTCGATTCAATACCAGAATTTCTCATTCTCTGTAGATATTCAATCGACTTGTCACTTCGATATTCCTGGCCAAACCCAGCTATCATTATGTTCCAAGAGACAATATTCACTTCAGGCATCTCAGCAAAAATCAGCTCTGCACCATTCATGTCTTTATTCTTTGCACACACTTCGAGCAACGAATTGTTCAGATGAAGATCTCCTACAAACCCAAGTCTTAAAGCAAGACTATGGATCTGTGTCCCAAGCACATTTCGATATGTCTCACTCGGGCTGTCGCATTCGTCTCGTGGAGCAGAGATGTTAAGAATATTAGATAAGCAAACAGAATCGACCAGGACACCTTTCTCGCACATCCATCTGAACATGTGAACTGCCTCCAAAACTTTATTTTCCCGAGCTAACCCGTTGATTACCGTTGTAAAAGAGACTTCATTAGGCTCATAGATACACTCAAAGACTCGAACACCATAATCCACCATACGCCCACACTTCGCATACATAGACAACAACGCATTCCCAACAAATATATTCTTGTCAAGACCCGTTTTAACAGCAACCCCGTGACATTTCATACCAGTAAAACCATCCGTAAGCTTGCTACACGCACTCAAAACACTAGCTAACGTGAACCGAGAAGGCAAAAACCCTTCAGAGACCATCCTCTCATAAACAACCAAACCTTTCTCCTCAAACCCATTCCGCACCAACACGCTAATCATATTGTTCCACGACACAACATCTCTCTCAGGCATTCCATCAAACACCTCACACGCTTCCTTCAAATCCCCAACTTTACAACAAAACGTCAAAAAACTATTCCACGAATAAATATCTCTCACAGGCATTTCGTAGAACACCTTCCGTGCATACTCT